GAAGCGCCTACTCCGCTCAGACGAAAGCACTATACCGGTGGCAACTGAAAACGCGTCTGGGTAGAGGCGGAGCTTTGCTGGAGGAGTAACAGCGTGAGCGGAGGAGAGGGTACCGGAGCTCCCCGCCCAGAATCCCCAATCCTTGGCTCAAAGGAGCAGCGCGCTCTGAAGCTCGGCGCGCACGATCAAAGCGAGCGCCGCACGCGCACGCGCGCCCGCAGCCTCTCCCCCGCCCGCGCGGCTCCGGTTCCCGCGCGCGCGCACTTGAGGCCTCCCTTGTGCGTCTCCTCCATTCGCTACGTGCAGAATGGTCCGTCGGCAGCAGCTGCAGCGCCGGGTGGGAGGGGGAGGAGGAGGGGAGGGGGAGGCGGCGCCCAGGTCTCGGGGAGGGGCCGCGGCGGCCCTGGAGAGAGAGGCGTGGGGGCGAGGGGCTGGGCCCCCCGCCGCGGGAAGGACCCAGGGAGAGTCCGGGTGGGCTCGAAGCTCAGCCCTCGCCCTCCCCCTCCCCCGCTCCTTTCTGCAAGGCCATTACGGCCATCTCCCCGCCCGAGCGTCCTGGAACGGAGCCGACCAAGAGGGGTTTTCTCCGTGTTGTCTCCTCCCCAAACCCAGAATCCAGACCCAAGAAAGAACCACTCCTCCAGACCCCTCTTCCCGCTTCCCGTCCCAACCGCATTCCCAAGCTTTCGTGGAGGTGACCCTACAGCAAGCACTGCCCCACTCCGCCTTTCATGGGTTGGGGTCCCTAAGAGGTACGGCAGGCTCACTCCCTTTTCCTCCCTGACCCCACCTAGAGGAAGAGGCATGGCCAGGATGAGCACCAGAGCACAATTCCCAGCGTTTCCAAGGGGAAAGGCCAGTATCTCAGCATGCACACTCTAACATGGCCACAGAAAGGTCGCAAGCTCCTCCCAGAGGAGCAAGCTGCCGCCCAGGCCCCTAGGGCCACTTCCAAAGGAGTGTGGCCAGGACTGGGTTGCTGCGGACCCTCTCGCATTACAGGTCTGGGCTCTATACACCTGTTTGTAAAGGGTCCTCCTGGAATGTAATGGTGAGGGACCACCAAGTGGTAGGTCGAGGATTCCAAACAGGCCAGCTCCCTGCCCTGCCGGGAAACCAGATGTGGCCCAGATGTCCACAGCACTGCCTCCCACAGGGTGGGACATCAGCTATTCTATGCAACCCCTCCCAAGCCTTCTTCCAGGGTCAGGGGAGGAAAGCTGGTGACCACCGTTGTCTCTTCCCATTTGGGCTGCTGGAAGGGAGCAACTCACTCATCCTCCTTTTCCTGCCCAGAGCCACCTGGGCTTACCTCTATAGCAGCCGCCTAGGTTCAACCTGTGCTCTAACCTCAAGCTCTCTGCTGACAGGTTAAGTCAAGATCGCCGGGAAGGAAAACATCCAGTTTCATTACACACATACGTATACACACACCCGACACCGACCCATGCGCCTGGGTTCTGCAGAGGCCAGACCCCAAAAAGCAGATTCTCCCGTTTCCTCCCTGGTGGCCTCAGACTTTTGACGGCGCCCTCTGCTGGCCACTAAGAAGTGCAGGAAAAAACAGTCTTCAGATAGACACTTGGTGGGTCCGAGAAAAGGGACAAGAGGCAGAGAAACAAATGAAAACTAGGAGTTGAGAGCAGCGCTGGGCTGGCCACAAACAAAGGAGGCATGGTGAAGCCTTCCTGGAGGTGGGGAGTTTTGAGCCAGCTTTCCATGGGCCCAGGGGGACAAGCCAAGCTGACAGACAGGGGCGGCCCATCCTGTGTGCTGAGCCCTACCTCTGTCCTGGATGGCTCACACACCCACTAACTCTGATGGCTGCTGTGCCTGGCTTGGGGGTCCTTCCTCTCCTAGGGTGGTAGGTGGGGAGGAGCAGCCATGGAAACCCTCATCCTCCTAGTCATAGCCTGGCTCCTTGGGGCTGTAAGAGGTGTCCCCAAAGAGAAGCTTGCAATTGACAAATCTTTGCCCCGCCCCACCTCACATACACACAGGATGGCCCAAGCCCAGGTCCTTGGCATGGTGGGGCAGGGGCCTGAGTCAGAGCCTGGCGTGACCCTGCCCGGTCCCAGGAGTGGCCAGCTCGCCCAGAGGTGAGACCCAGGTCAACAATCCATCATTCTGCCTCCTGCCGCCAGGTGTCCTCCCCATCACGTCCCACACGTGGGACAGGCCAGGACAGTGCTGGGCAGAGCTAGTGTTGGGCCTGTGCCTCACTAAGGGGAGCCCGGAGGAAAAGAATGAAGGGGTTTTTATCTCCTGAACAGCAGGAGGAGCCAGGTGGGGTTCCAGACAGGAGGGACTGAATGGACCCACAAGCATTTGGAGTCTCTCCCTACCTGCTGGGTGACGGAGCAGTGGGTGCCAAGAACTGCTAGCTTCTAGGACCTGTCCCTGCTGAGGAGGGACTTCTAGGGTCACCCTCAGGGCCTTGACATCTGCACAGGCCCTTCTCCAGGGACCTACCTCCAAAGGCAGCCTCTGCTACCAGCCTTCACAGGCTCCACTACAGCCCAACTCCCAGACCCAACCTCAGTCTGCAGCCTGGCCAAGTCAGAGGGCCTGGCTGCCTGGACCACTCCCAAGCAGTAAATGGCCCTGTGGGCTTCCTCCATCCTGCCTTCCCTGCCCCCCCTTCATTGATTCACTGACTTCCACCTTACTGGCCAGGCCCCCTTCGAGACCCTACCTGGGTAAAGAGGACTCCCAGGAGCAGTGAGTGCAGGCCCAGGAGGACACAGAGAGCCAGGTGCTTTAATTGGAGGTAATTAATTTACTCTGAAAGCAATGGCGGGGGGAGGCGGCTGGAGAAGGGGATGGTAGGGAAGGAGGTAGGGGGCTGTGGCCTAACTGGGCTCAAACTATCAAACTCTGGTCAGCCTCCTCCTGGACCAAAGCTACCCTGAGTGTACCCACCCACTTAGAAGACCCTCTCCTGAGCCCCAGGTCAGAGCAAGACCCAGTGGACTGGGGTGGCTCTACAGAAAAAGCAGGTGCCCTGCGGTGGTGGGAACCAGGCTTTTGAGGTGAGGCAGGTGTGGACTGGCATGAGGGGATTGGAGAGGTGGAAGGGGCTCTGGGATGGGAACTGGTCCCTCTCCTGTCACCGGATACTGCCATCCCTCCCAAGGTCATTGCTCCCACTTGTTAGGGGCCCAGCCCCCTCCTTTGGTCAGTGAAGTCCCAGGGCAGCCCATTTTAAATACAACGGGGCCTGAAGGCTAACTTCTGTCCCTCCTGCCTTGGGAAGCCCTACCAATAACTGGGAAAAAGGGGGACAGAAGACAGAGCCCCTGCCGGGCCCCAGGGGGCGTGTCGTCGGCTCCTCTGCGTCGCCGGCCGGCGGCGTGGCGAGGACTCTGGCCGGCAGCTTCCCGCGCCGTCCGGAGCAGCTGACCCGCTGGCGGTGGGCCAGGTCGCGGCAGGGCCTGGAGGCAGCAACGTGCGGCGCGGCATGTCGCGGCAGGGAAATGTGAGGGCGGACCGGCGCGCCCCTCCCCCCGCTACGCTGGCCCATTCATAAAACCTGCAGGCGCTGCCTGGCCTGGCAGGCTTGGTCTCCCTAATTGCAAACTCATTAAGGAGTTTGCATCTCATTTGCATGGAAATCATTTCCTGGCCCTAAACAGAGAAACTCTCCGCCCCTCCACCAGCCCCTCTCTGCCCTGCTTTACCCATGCACAGTCTGGGAAGGAGAGGGGCATATCTCCGACCTGCCCCCCTTCCCTGGCCTCATTCCCCGACTTTAGAAATGAGGGAGGGGATTGGCAGAACACCCACCCAACCAGGAGCCCTGCCTGTGCCCTAGGTGAGCTGGCCCTGCCCTAGTGGGTCCAAGTGAGGGGAGGTGTCTGCCAAGTCATTTGCCCCCCGGCCTGGCCGTGCCCAGAGAAGGGAGGAGGCGGTCTGCACTTGGCCCCAGCAGCTGGCTGTACCTGGCAGGAGTGGGTGGGTGAGGCTTTTCGTGCCCAGCCTCACGTACATGCCCTGCCACAGGCCTTGCCCCCACCCCCACACCCCTCTCCCCGCAGAACAAGCGCCCAGTGACTGCAGAAACAGACACCCAGTCACAGCACACAAAGGCACCCACACCAGGCCAGCCATCATGGCTGCCACTCTGGCAGCCACCCTAGAGGGCAGACAGATGCCTTCACAAGCCATTTTGTCTTTCTCCAGCTTGGTGCCAGGACTGGGGGTGGCAAAAGGGTTTCTCCTGAGACTTTTCTGAGTAAGGGGGCCCATAGAGGGGTTTCCTTATGCACCCCAGCTGTGGCCTCTTGCCCCTCTCTCCTGTAACCCATGATTGAGGCATCCAGGTGTTCTACCCTGCATGAGGACCTGCCCAGGCGAGGCGGGCACAGGAGCCTCCAACGCAGGAGGGGAAGTGGGTGATGAAGCCCCCCAGGAAGGGACACCTAGTGCCTCCCGAGCCAGGTTCTGTCCTTCCCGTCCCAAGTGTGTTTGATGGAGAGAGTGCTCCTCAATTTCCTGGGGGCTGAGGGGGTGGTATTTTAAATCTTTGGAAGTGGAATAGAACTACCTAAAGTATATGAAATTAGATACTACTTGGGACACTATGTCCTGGTTCTGTATGTCCTGGGACAGTGTAAAAAGTGATCACAAAATTTCAGCATCACAGTCTAAATCAAAACCTGCCTCCTGACTGCCTCCCCAGACACAGCGCTGCTTACGCCTCCCATCTGCCCACACTCCCACCTGCTGTATCTGAAGTTTCTCCCTTCCATTGCTAGGGCATAAAGGGGTGAAGAAGGATGTTCTAGAGCACTGACCACCCATCTGTCCTGAAGAGGGCTGGACTGACCCTACCCTCCCAGCTGCTGGAGGAGTTGGTTTCAGGTGCCATATGTGTGCATGGTTCAGGGGTGCTGGAAAAAAGTTTCAGAATGCCTATTTTTCATCAAATCCTTTTTTCATTAGTGTATTTTTACAAGGTAAACTATATAAAAATATACTCATGTGACAGGTGTGTACTCAACAATTTTTTTTATTGCCAAGGGCATATGATGAAAAAACTTCAGAGGTCACTGGCCTAGACTTCAGGTGGGGCAGCTGTGGACAGGAGATGGCTTGTCTTGTCCGTCTAAGTATCTAGCCTGACACATGATTCGTTCAGAACCTGGCAGGGAACAGAGGTCAGGGGACACAGCATTGAATGAACAAAGTCCACTCCTAGAACTGACAGCTGAGGAAACTGAAATAATTCTGGGGTGGGGAGATTGCTCAGAGGAGGATATGGGCAGGTTGAGTCTCCCCCCACTCATTGCTGCTATGTCTGTAGCCTACCTATGCCCAACACCCAGCACCCACCAAAACCCTATTTCTACCCACTCCAGGGGCACAGGTCCCTCCTCTGCCTGCCAGCAGAGTGGCCACCTGTCTTGAGTGCCGTACTGAATCCTGATTAGCAGAGCCAGACAGGGTTGCCACCTGCTGAATCTCCCAACCTGGCAGAAAGTCTGTGGCCAGCTTTGTATCCTAGAACTCTCTGGAAGTCAATATGGTGTAGGAGAAAGAATGTAGGCTCCAGACAGGCCTCAGTCCTCATCCAGCTTGGTGACCTTGGTCACAACACATAACTGGTGTAAGCCTCAGTTTCCCAATCTGTATCTTGGGACCAGTATTCGTACTTACTATACAGGGGTGTTGTGGATGTTGAGTAGCCTACTGTGTGTATAGGATCTGGCATAGACTAGTTGTTCAGTAAGATTCCTCTCTCTGTGTGCAGCAGGTGCCCCATAAAGAACCTGTTGCCTTGTGATTTGACATTAGCATGGGAAGAAGAATTCCGAAGGCAGACCACTGTTCCTGCTGGCATACTGATCACCCATCTGAGCTCTGTACTGCGCCTTCCTGCAGAAGTGAAGCAGCCACTCAGGCAGCCTTGGGGCCTCTCCAGACTCATTCTCTCCGTGGCGGGGTGTCCTCCCTCTTGTCTCCCTTACAGCTTCTTTCTGCACTGCCTTCTCTTCAAGCATGAGCTGAGGGTGACACCTGGTGGCCATTTCTATAACTGCAGAATGTTATAGGACTAATATGGAGGAATGACACCTCCATCTGGAAGTGTATGAAGTCGAGTGTGCTAGGAAGCCATCCTTTTTTGTTGTTGTTTTGGTTTGGTTTTTTTGAGATGGAGTTTCTTCGCTCTTGTTGCCCAGGCTGGAGTGCAATGGCGCGAGCGCAGCTCACCACAACCTCCGCCTCCCGGATTCAAGGGATTCTCCTGCTTCAGCCTCCCAAGTAGCTGAGATTATAGGCATGCACCACCATGCCCAGCCAATTTTGTATTTTTAGTAGAGATGGGATTTCTCCACGTTAGTCACGCTGATCTCGAACTCCCGACCTCAGGTGATCTGCCCACCTTGGCCTCCCAAAGTGCTGGGATTAGAGGCGTGAGCCACCATGCCTGGCAAGGAAGCCATTTTTTACAGCACTTTACCTATACCTCCCAACTCCTTATCAGGGCCCTGGGGAGCCCCAGGAGTGCCCACTCCCCACTCCACCCTCCAACGTTCTACCTCTAAGGGCTTCACTTACCTGATGGGTGGAGATGATCAAGGCGGCCTCTGCCCAGGTCATGCAGCACCAGGCCTGGCTCCAGGCAAAAAGGACAGTGGCTGCTCTTCCCCCAAGTGCTACTGAACACCTTGCAGGCATCATTTTCTCCAATTCTTATCACTAGAGCCCATGATCATCACAAAGAAGAAACCAAGAAACAGCAATGTTAAGCAACTTGCCAAGGCTCACACAGCTCCTTGGTACCCAAATAGTGAAATGGATACAGATGACACTCAATGGGATACCAGACCAGCCCCCAGGAGACAAAGGAAGCCTAGAGGAAGCAGCTTGCCATGGGGTTAGAAGACTCAAATTCTGATATGGCCTTGCCCCAACTAGTGGGGTGGCCTCCATCAAGGGCCTCTGCTCACGGAGCCTATGTCTCCTTGACAGCACCATGGGGCAGAGGACAGAGCAGTGATTCTCAGATTGGCTGTACATGGGACTCACTGGGAGAATTTTTCGAATACCCATGTTTGCCCAGCCCTTGCTGAGGAAATCAAAATTGGTAGGGGTTAGCTGAGGCACAGGTAGTATTAAGAAAATCTTTCTACGTGATTCTGTAGGCAGCCAGGGTTGAGAATGGGTCCTCTAGGAGTTCCCCATCTTCAAACCTCCCAGCCCTCCAGAGGTCAGCTCCCCAGGACTCCCCTCGGTCATGAGTTCTCCAGAGAAACTTTCTTAACTTGTCCACCCAGACCCACAAGAAGCTGCCTCCCAACCCCCCAAGGGGACCCTGGCCCATCAACGCTTTCCAGAGGGGACACAGCAGGCTTGAGCCTCTTGAGTCTCTGACCCCAAGCCTGGCCTCTGGGGTGGGGGGAAGAGAAAGCCATAGGGAGCTTAACCTCATCAGGATGAAGGCGCCATAATTAGGGTCAGGCGGTTGGCTCAGCCTGCGGAAATCCCCAGCTTAGTAGGGATGGGGAGTGGCACTGCAGCCTGGGGGAGGGGTCAGGGCATACATGAGGGGGCCGGGGAGCCCAGGCATGTGGAAACTCAGGGCCTGGTCCCCAGTTGTCTCCTGAGAGAGCCCACGAGGGGCTTCTCAACACAGTTCACTCCCTCCCTAGGGTTGCTGAAGCCCAGGGAGGAGGGGAAAGGCTAACCAGCCTCCCAACCCCAGAGACCCTGCTGCTCCCTCAGGCTGGGGTGCCTCAGGATCACCCCCGTACCCCAGCCTCTGTCAGGTGGAGGAGGGCACCGCTGGGAAAAGGCTACGTGAGTGTTCCTAGGGCGACCCAGGCTTCTCTCCTGCCTGTAATCCTCAGACCTTGAGTGAGGGTTCACTTTTCACTGTGGAATTTAACACCAAGGAGACAAAATGGGGCAGGGAAGGGGGGGCAGAAGCCAGGGAGGGAAGCTTGCAGGGGAGTACTTTTAGCCCCCAAAAGGCCCTCCAGGAGGCAGCTGCACAGAGAGAACCCCTATCCCCATTACTCCTTGAGCCCGTCATGTGGCTCACCCCAGGGCACAGGATCTCAGGCTGTGCTGTCCAGGTAGCTCCCAGCAGACTCCTGCCACGCATCCCAGTGCAGAGAGAGTTTCGACCAGCACCCTTGCCAACCACTCATTTTGAAAGGGAGGAAACGTTCCAAGAGATGAGAACTAGCCAAGGCCATGCAACACCAACCACACCTAGAAGCCCCAGCTTCCCAAGAGACAGCTTCAGTGAGCCAACAAAAACGAGCCTGCAGCCTCAGGAGTTCCCACACACACCTAGGCCAGAATCCCTCTGCCCCCACAGCAGGACACCCTCTATCTTGCCCTTCAGGGTCATAGGTTGGACATAGCAAGGTAAGCAGAGGGCAGATACATACTAGTCCACACGAGCTTGTGACGGCTGGGACTAGGGGCCAGACTAGTGACTCCCACATCGAGAATAAATGCCAATTCCAGGAAGCCTTCCCAACTGACCCCCAAAAAGCTGGCAGTACTTCCCTCCCACAACACAGCCTTGGCCTCTCAAAGGCTGTTCTTTCCCCCAAGCCTCACCACACCTGATGCATCATGTAGGTTCTGCATGGGCCTCAGTTCTCCTGGCCATGGGCTCTCCCCATACCTTAACCTGAGAACCTCTGTAGGCAGGACCATGTGGGACAAAAATGTCCTGTGCCAACCCAGTACCAATCACAGGGAGGCTCAGGGATAGGGAGGGGCTCTTGGAAAGGGGGCAGACTGGGCTCAAGTCACAGAACTTGGGAAGGACCTTGAGTGGGAAATCGCTTCAAATCTCATCTAGGATGAGCATGGTAGCTCACACCTGTAGTTCTAACACTTTGGGAAGCTGAGGCTGGAAGACTGCTTAAGGCCAGGAGTTCAAGATTAGCCTGGGCAACATAGTGAGACCTCATCTCTTTGCATTTTTTTAATGTTAAAAAAAAATTAAGGTCATCTGGTCCAGTCCCTCATGCCTGCCAGCTAGGAGGCATCTAACTTCTCAACACTGCAGAGATGGGCATCTATTCATGTATTCATTCATTCAGCCACTCATCAAATGAACCTTGCCCAGCTATCTTCTACATCTCTGAAGAAGATGGCAACCCAATCCATTCTCAAGGGCACAGGCTATATCCTTACCAAACAGAGCCAAGGGTCCATCCATTGCCCCTCCTGGGCCTAGCATGCTGCTAAGTGGAAGCAAAAGGTGCTGATCAGCAACTGCCACCCACTTTTATGTTGCATGGTGGCATTCTCACCTGTTTGCACATCATGGGGTTCATTAGAGATTCAGCCACCATTCCAGACAGGTTGGCCCTCACTGGCAGATGGGAAGCTGAGGCTGAGCAGGTGAAATGGTCTTGCAGCTGGAAGAGAGGCAGTGCCAGGACTTGGCCCAGGCAGCTGAGCTCCGAGCCCCGGGTTCATTTTACACACCCACTCCCAGCCTTCCACCAGCTTGGGTTTCATGTGGAAGACAGGATTTACCTGGGGGGTGAGGGGCGGGGCGGGATGAAAATGTGATTTTGGCTTTTGATTATAAAAATAATAACAGTGAAGATGTATCAGAGGCATGCTGGTCTCAGCACCGTGCTGATTTTGCTAAATGCACAGGAGTCAAGTGTTGCACACAGAACCTTCCTCAGGGCCAGACTCACAATGCCCTTGGCAGGCACAGCTGCACATGCAGAGACACACGCACGCACACACATGCATGCATGAGTCCCCGCACGTCCCAGGAGATGTGTCCCACCCCTTTCATTCCCTTCTGATAATCCAGCGGCTTCCAGCAGGACAGACACATACCCTTCAGGCTTCCCAGGCCAGGCACGTGCCAGACCAGCTGCCAGGGCCCAACGCCTCAGGCCTGCTGGGCCCCAGAGGGTGACCTGCTACATAGTTGACCCTGCTCAACCTCAGGAAGGATGGTAACTCCCCGGGATGTGAGACCCCACCCAAGCCCTCTGTGGAGTCAGTGTCCATGTAAGGTAGGGTTTAATGAGAAGCCTCAGGGAGCCCCTCAGCTTCCTGTGGGCACTCAGCCCCCACTGGAGTCCTGGAGAGAGTGGGCATACTCCAAGGAGATGCAGAGAAACAAGCAGAAGCTCAGGCGGGGCCAGCAGGGCTCCAGCAGGAAAGGGGGTGAATCTGGGAAGGGTGGAGGTATGGCGGGGTGGGTAAGAGATGCATGGCAAGGGCTTGGCTGAGGAGTGCTAACTGGTCAATGGTTGGAATTTAAGAAAGGGAAGACCCATGTGACCTGGGAAGAGATTAGAAAATGGGCTCTGGAGCAGGCAGAGCTGGGTTTGGATCCTGGCCCTGCAGCTTATAAGCTGGGTGACCTTGGGCAGGTGGCTTACCCTCTCTGAGCCCCTCAGTGTCATCTGCAAAATGTGGATACTAGTAGTACCCAGCTCACAGATCGTGAGAAGAAAATGAGGTCCTCAGTGTAAAATGCTAAGCATTGCATCTGGCACACAGGGCCTGCTCAATTCACAGTAGCTATTCTTTGAAAAGTACAGAGGCTCTGAAAGAAAACCCTGAGAAGCGAGCCACAGCCTTGCCTGGGGGCTGTTAGAAAGGGGGTCCACATAGGTGAGAGGCAGCAGAGGGTCTGGGGCCAGGGACCAGGGCAGCCTCTGTCCTCGTCACTCTTGTCCTTGAGGGGTATGACAGGGTGAAAAGGGAAAGACAGCCACTGCTGCCCTACTGGGGTCTTCCAGGGGATTTGTGAGGGTCCTGGGGAGCTTCTCTCCACCCCATGACTGCATCATTCAGATGAGGGGGCCAAGGGCCACAGAGGAGAAGGGACTTGCCCACAGTCACTCAGAGAGTGAGGATAGAGGCAGACCTGCTAACCCCAAGCCAACTTCCTTTTCCCTGCTGCTGCTCAGAAAGAGAAGCCAGGGGCCAAAGAAACCACATTCCCCGGGAATCGAGATGCCAGGCTCTACTCCTGTTCCCACCCAGAGCTTTGAATAAGACCTTGCTGAGGCCTGGAGAACTCTCATGCTTCCTTTAAAGCCCAGACTGAAGATACCGCCTCTAGAAAGCTCACCCTGACCGGTGATAGCTGTCCTGCCAGACAGCCAAGCTGTGTTCTGCCAGGACAGGTGTGTTGGCATGCATCAGACCAGCTATCAGGGCCTGCGGCCTCTTTGGGGCCTTGACCCGGCCGCCACCCTGGTTTGTGGACTTGTTATTTCCCCATGGTGGGCTTCAAGGTTCTAAGGCCAGAGACAGGGTCGTAGTCAAGTTTGAGGCCTCAGACCCAACACCATGACCCAGCCCAGTGCTTTTGTGTGTGGAATGAAGGAATCCTGACCATGCTGGGCTGAGACTTGCCAGGACAAGGGCCCCAGGAGTAGGGACAGGGCCCTGGGGCATTGCCATCCTGCCCTGGCCTATCCCTCCCCCATGCCCGGCCCCATGCTAGAAGCAAGTTCCTGTTGTAAGCTGTACCCTGTCCCAGACACCTGGCATTTACCGAAAGGGCAGAGACAGAGAAGGGCCTCCCCTGTGCCATCCACTCACGAAGGAACTGGAAAGGCCAGCAGGAAGGAGAGGAGTCATATTTCAAAGGGCTCTGAAGATGTCAGAATGACGGTAATACTCTCCACGTTAAACCGCCCAAGGAGTGATATCCAGGTTAGACAATATAAGAAATGGCTGCAGAGCGGCAAGAAAACAGCAACCCTATCCCAAAAATGGACATGAGAGGTGAACAGACAATCAAAGAAAACAACTGGGCCAGGTGTTCGAGACCAGCCTGGGCAACATAGTGAGAATCTGTCTCTTCAAAAAAATTTTTTAATTAGCTGGGCAACATAGTGTTTGCCTGTAGTCCTAGTTACTCAGGAGACTGAGGTGGAAGGATCACTTGAGCTGAAGTTCAAGGCTGCAGTGAGCTATGATCATACCACAGCACTCCAGCTTGGGTGACAGAGTGAGATTCTGTGTCAAAAAAAAAGGAAAGAAAGAAAAGATGCTGAAAAAAATCATTATACATCACTTTACCTCTGGTAGATGAAAAAAAATTCAAAAGCTGGAAAAAGCCCAGCATTGATGGGGATGTGGGTGACAGCCCCATCGCTACAGGACAGGTACTAGGGGAGTCTGGCAGCTCATTCATGGGGTGGGTGGGCAGGAAAATGTGTGGCTGCACATCATAGGGTTCCATGCCAGTTGGAAGCAACAAGGCTAGATTTTATTTTGGTTGACTGATCATTTGAGGGACAGGATCTCACTCTGTCACCCAGGCTGAGTGTGGTGGCGTAATCATACCTCACTGTAGCCTCCAACTCCTGGCCTAAGTGATTCTCCTGCCTCAGCCTCTCAGGTAGTTGGGACTACAGGGGTACACTACCGTGCCCGGCTCAAGGCTAGATTTTATACAGTGTTGACTCAGTGAGATCTATAACACAATGACATTTACCAAAGTAAAAAGAATACATGTTTACAAAAGAGTAATGCCCACCTGAAGGAACCATACAAACAAAGGCATTAAAGACAGTCAAATGAGGAAACAAGGGAAGGGTGTAGGGAAAGGAGGAAAGGCATAAACACAAAACAAGGCCAGTGATGCCAGTGAACCTGCCATGGCCTGAGTAAGACTAGCCACACCCCCTGGTCCACACTGAGGACCACATCTGAGGTTCACAGGGAGGGACAATCCCCAAGGCCCTCAGCATAGGCTCAGATGGAGCCAGGAGCTGCATCCATGAGGGTCAGATCTGGGCCTGACCTCAGAGGCTGCCCTTCCCCTCCACAGCGGGGGAGGGTCTTGGCTAAAGTCAAGCCGCTGTACACACAGGGTCACACCCACCTTGGGCCCCTTTTATGCCCTGGAAGTGGAAGAGGATGGAACCTCAAACTAGAGCAGTGATTCTGGCGTGAGCTGGGTGCCAGGAGAAAATGAGAAACAAGTCCTCCCCTTACAAAAGGTCCTGCGGGACCAAGTGCAGTGGCTCGTGCCTGTAATCCCAGCATTTTGGGGGGCGAAGGCAAGAGGATTGCTTGAGGCCAGGAGCTCAAGACCGGCATGGTCAGCATACTGAGACCCCCCCAACTCTAAAAACATGTGTTTTTTAAATTAGTTGGATATGGTGGCTTGTATCTGTAGACTCAGTTATTCAGGAGGCTGACGCAAGAGGATCATTTGAGCCCAGGAGACTGAGGCTACAGAGAGCTGTGATCATACCACAGCACTCCAGCCTGGGAGTAAGACCCCGTCTCAACTTTTTTTTTAAAGTTCCTGGAATTCAGGTTATTTTTTTTTTTAAGGAGAGTCTTTATCTTTAGACACACATTTAGAAAAATCTGTGAAATGACATGGTATTTTAGATGTGCTTAAAAATAATCCAGGTGTGGGGGCGGGGGAGAGGGGGCAAGGAAGTGGATGAAACAAGCTTGGTCATAAGTGATAGCTGCTGAGTATGGGAGTGAGTGTGTGAAGTTCATTACAGTTTATTCTCTATTTTTGCATGTGTTTGAGAGTTTCTCTAATAAAAACTTCAAAAAGAAAAACTTCCCAGTAAGAAACTCTCCCATATGAGGAGACTAGCCCCTGACCTAACGGAACCCCACCCAGTCTGCCAGCGACGCACAGACCCTGCCCTGCATCTTCTTAGCCTGCCTCCACTGGCCAGCGGCCACATTGTAGGACACAGGCCTGGGATCCTGACAAATGCTCAGCCTCAAACCTGGCCCTCATCGCTGAGGCCAACGGTCAGTCACTGGAACCACATCTAAGCAGACCTGGTTCTGGTTCTAGCTCCACCTTGCACGTGGCTTGAGGCTCCTCACCTGACCCACACCTGCCTGGATCCGAGAAAATATCCAGTGAGTCCTGGGCCATTAGCAGTGAGAAAGTCCCCTTGCTCTTATTGTGGCTGCTCCGCTCACTGCCTCTGCCTCCAGGTCTGTATGACGAAGACTGGAATCACCAGGCAAGTTTGCATATATTTGAGGCAATGCTCAGTGTGCACCCCAGAAAGAGCTGCCAAGACCAGGGAAGGGAGCTGGCCACAGTCATACGGTCAACTAGTGGCAGAACTGGGTTCTTCACATGAGCAGGGCACTGTGCCAGCTGCCACCCCAACCACCACCATGAGGCCTGCAGGCCAGTGGACAGCATGTCCTCGTTCAGAGTCTGGACAGCATGTCCTCGTTCAGAGTCTGGACAGCATGTCCTCGTTCAGTCTGAGACAATGTCCCTGAGACCCTTCCCTCCAGACCCAACTCCCATTCCAGGAGCCTCTGACTCAGGGGAGTACCAGGAAGCCTGCACAGGCCAGATGCAAGCCAGGAAGGAGAGGGCTGGGGAAGAAGGAGGCAGAAGCCTTTGTCCTGCCCTCCTGGAACACAGAAGAATCCAGAAACATCCATCTGGGAGAGTGCGCCCAGACTTAGGGACTCTACCAGGAGACTGCTGGGTGACTCCTCGGTCAGAAGTCTTAGCCTTGCCCAGCCTTTCCTAACAATAATAATAGTCAACATTTGTATATCTCCTACTGTGTACAAGACAGAGTGTGTTCTGCTTTAGGTATATTATGTCATTTACTTCTCACAACAACCCTCAGAGGCCAATGCTATTATTGTCTTCATTTTACACATGGGGAAACCGAGGCACAGACAGAGTAAGTAACTTTCCCAAAGTCAGCTTGCACACAGCAGAGCTAGGATTTGGTCCCAGCCAGCCTGCCTTGAGTTTGTGCTCTTACCCACCCCAATGCACTCAAGACAGCATGGCCTGGCTTTTCCTGAGCCAGTACTTCTGATTTCCCCGGAGGAGTAACAGCTGATACCCTGTTTATACCACAACACCTGGGATGGGAGCTTCACCCAGGGATGGCAGTGCTGGCACCTGGGCAGCACTCCCACCTTGTCTCTTTTTCAGGAAAGCAGAGTAGAAGGGAAGTGAGAATGACACTATCAGAAGGATAGGTTTTAACTCATTTCTTCTTTCTCTTCCTCTTCTTCTTCTTCCTTCTTCTCCTTCTCCTTCTCCTTCGTTAAGACAGGGTTTCACTCCCATCGCCCAGGCTGCAGTGCAATGCCATCATCTCAACTCACTGCAACCTCCAACTCCTGGACTCAAGTGATTCTCCTGCCTCAGCTTCTGAGTAGCTGGGACTACAGGTGTACATCACTGTACCTGGCTAATTTTTTAATTTTTTTGTAGAGATGGGGTTATTCCATGTTGTTCAGGCTAGTCTCAAACTCCTGGCCTCAAGCAATACACCTGCCTCCCAAAGTGCTAGGATTACAGGCATGAGTCACCGTGCCCAGCCTTCTTAATTTAAATCACTCATAAAAAAAAGTTAACCAAAATCTGGGCCAGGTGCAGTGGCTCAAAAAATATGTATACAAAAAATTAGCCGGGCATGGTGGCACACCTATGGTCCCAGCTACTAGGGAGGCTGAGGTGGGAGGATTGCTTGAGCCAAGGAGGTAGAGGTTGCAGTGAGCTGAGACTATGCCACTGTACTCCAGCCACTCTAGCCTGGGCAACAGAGGGAGACCCTGTCTCAAAAAAAAAAAAACAAAAACAAAAAAACAAAAAACGAAGATCAGCAACAAAGTAGTCATGAAATGCCCTCACAACCAGTCACAGCAAGGCCCTGGAGAATTTCTTTCCTCTACTGAATGCAAGCAGCTGGGGTATCTCCTCCAAGCTGAAACATGCTGAAAGAAGAGTGGTTATGAGCAGAGGTCTCAGGGTGGGTGCTGCCACTTCCAAGCTGTAAAACCCTGCCCCACAGATTAGTTCACTTCTCTGGGCCTCAGTTTCCCCATCTGTAAAGTGGGGATGATAATAGCATCCCCTCGAAAAGTTGTTAGGTTTTTTTTTTTTTTTTTTTCTGCCTCAGGTTTATTTGTACAAATAGCACAGGAGGATCCCAGCCCTATGCAGACAGCAGCCCAGGGTGGGTCACACCAGTCCTGTCCTCACATTGGCAGACAGAGCTCTCTACTCTGAAGCCTTTGTAGGGGCGTGGGCACCTCTGGACTCCTGAGCTGGAACTGAAGCTGGAGCTGCAGCCTGGGCCTTGGTTTGATCCTTGGCCTTGACCTTTGCTGGCACAGCCTGAGCCCCTTGGCAGTGCGGGCACGAGCACACTTCCCAGGCTTGGGTTGGACAATGCAGGCAAGTCAATCGGGCTTATGGCCGACGCCCTTTGAGATCCTGGCCTTAACCTCCTTGGGCTTTACAAGGGCCTTGATGGACTCAGCACGTGCACTCACGGCCTTGGCACTGTTGGCCTGATCTTCTTTATGCCCTTCTTGTTGTGCTTCTTGGCAAAGTGCATGCTCCTCAGGAACTTGGGGTCCACCCCCTTAAGAGATTCGTATCTTTGAGATCGGGGTTTCCTAAGGCCATTTCTGGTACTGGTTGTGTGCGGTGTGGTTCTTGGACTTTGCCATGTCTGTATCTTAAGCCATGGCTCCCGAAGCACCTAGAACCAGAAGAGCTAGAAGGTTTAAATGAGCCTTCTAGCTTCATTGTAAAGCATTCAGCCTAGGGCCTGGCACATAGAAGGTGTACAACATGGGCTATTAGCACTACTACTGCGATCAGGACTGCCCCAACCAGTCATGAGCTCCTTGGGGAAGGAACTGAGTCTTGTTTATCTTTGTCTATTTGAGTATTTTCCACGGGGCTTGGCATACAGTAGGTGTTCCACGTCTTAGGTCAGGTTCCCCAGAAGCCGATCCTGAGACAAGAATTCACAGCTAAATGATTTGGGAATGCTCCCAGGGAAACTGGAGAGGGGCTTG